GACATCTTTCAAGACCAGGCTGTGTTTAAGCCATGTGCCCTGAGTTAGACTGCATCTGCTCAGAAGAGGAGGTCTTTTTTCTTATTCTCATGAAGGTACCACATATGGAGGCACAACATATTCTCTTCCCAGGTACTCCCATAATACCACCCTGTATTTCTCATCATAACACCTCTCCCATACTGTAATTGCTAATTTCTTTTTTGGATTCTCTCGAAGACTGAGCTTCTTGAGGATGAGAAGCATTTCTGATTTTATTCTGTACCCTCAAAGCCTAGCAAAGTCCCCGGCATGCAATAAAGCTAATAATAAAGATATTTAAACTAATTTGAATTAATTAATTAATCTTTCATTGGATTTTGTCCTTATTTTCAGTTTAGGAGAAATGATCGCCCAAAAGGAAAAGGGCCCAGGGATGGACCATGTTGGGTTTCATGAGCTAAGTCTGTCCTAAGGCCCGAAGTGTGCATCTTGGTGATGGCTGGATCCTATGCTTCAAGAAAAAGCTTGACTCCAGGCCCCTCTCATAACATGCCACTCTGCTTTCATCTATTCAACAAAAAATTTCTGAGCACCTACTATTTGCCAGATCCATGCCTTCCCTCCCAATCCATCCAATTTTGGACCTCCCACCCTATCCCGGGAGAAAGGATACTGTCTTTGATTTCAATGTTGAATTCATCCTGTCAACTTTTTACGTATGTGATTCCCCTCTCAAATGTATTTACAATTTCAAAGAAACCCAAGAAAAAGGACAATAGCAGCCTAAAACAGAGGGTCACAAATTTAAATGTCTACTGAGACTAGACCTGAAATGCCAATGACTATAACACAGTGGAGAGTGTTGGAGACGAGCTGATTGGATGTCTCTGTGCCCAAGTCCGGCCAATGACTGATGGGTAGGAGGAAGCCCAAAGTGGCCAAATCTCCTGATCTTTGAAGAAAAGTCAAAACTGTAAATTTTTTGTGAAGCCCCCTCCCCTGCCAATATTAGGCGCTGGCAACTAACTCAAACTTCTGTTTTGTTTTAGTGAAAATTCTATTTTGGCCAGAGAAAACATATCCGAAGGCCAGATCCGATCTGTGGGACACCATTTTGAGATCTCTTACTTAAAGGAATGAATGGAGGCTTCCTAGTGATTCTATGATTCCCAGTTGGGGAAGCTATGAGGTAGAGCATGGGGAGAAACAGTGGTACATACGGCAGAAAAGGACAAAAAACAGGCAAAGATTTGCTGGGAGGAATGGAAGGCAACTAGCTCTTGCTGAGCTGTGGAGTCACTGGTCCCTCATGTACTTAATCTTGTTTCAATCTTCACATCTCCCTCAAGGTGAGTCTGTTCTCTCCATTTCACAGATATGTCCATCAAGAAGTGAGGACTAGAACTCAGGTTCTTTCCAGTTCATACCACTGACCCAACAAGTAATCTCCAGATTAAACATTTCCCTTCCTCACTTCCGTCTCTTCTTCTGTTCTCATTTGCTCTCTTTTAAACCTATGCTATGTGGTCCATCTCCATGAGTTTTAATTTGAGATGTCACAGTTTCCTCGTCCATGATACTGGCGTAGCAGCAGTACCTGCCTTGTAGCGTGTAGAGCCTGGCATGCTGTGTCAATACTCAATCAATATTAGCTTCTCCTTTATTCCTATTATTTCATTCCCTTTACTTTCCTTCTCTCTCTCACTCTATCTTCTTTTTCAAGAAAGAGTTGTTTTGTTTTTTTTAAGTTACTGCTCTCTTTTCTTGATTCCATTCCTGGGAAAGGGTATATTTTCTGGGCCTTACCCTCATCGGAATGATATATTGATAATGTTGCCAACATTTCCAAAGGAAGAAGAGAAAGAAACAAACAAAGAAAGAAAGAAAGAAGGGAGGAGAGAGAGAGGAGGAGAGAGGGAGGGAGGGGTGAGGAATGAAGGGAGGAAAGAAGAGGACAAGCAAGAGAAGGCAGAGTATGTCCATTCCCAGAGCAGGACGTAGCTACAGGACAGTGTCAAGTTCCCATGCTCACACCTCCCCCTAACAGCCTGGGGGTTTATGCTTCAGCCCAGAAATGACCCTGACAACTCAGTGGAAGCTAGAGATAGCAATGTTTTAAAATGCTGGTATACGTCCCACTAAGAAAGCCCGTTCTTAGGCAATAAGACCCAACCTGGAGGAACAGTATCAAGAAATGATACATTTTTGCTTTGGGAAAGAATTCCACTACATGATCGTTTTAAAATTCACCACGGGGTCCCCCTAGTGTATTTGAAATACAACTTTACTTGTAAAATTAAATTAAAAATCCACGATTCCAGAGCCAGGATGAATTGCTGAGATGAAGTTCTTCTCTTTGCGGAGGAGAGGGAATGAGGCCCCGACAGGAGAAGTGACTAGACTCCATGCAGTAGGTCCGATTGTAGCAAAGTCAGAGGCTGATTTGCTGTGGTGGTCGTCATTGTTATAAAGAGACTGAGCTCAAATACTGTGTTACTGGGATGGGAAGGAATCTCTCCTGGGGGCTAATAATAAATGTAACAACGTTCGCTTTCAGGGGGCCATTGTGGCCCTGGGCCCTGTGTTCAGGGAGGTGGAGGGACAGCAGGGGACAGGTCAGCCATTCTGCCTTCCTGCATGGAGCTGACCGTGAGACTTCTCTTCCCAGGCAAGCAAACCCAGTTAGATGGGTGACTTGCTTGGGGCCACTCAGCCTCAACAGGGGACATCAGACTGATTTACCCAGGTTTTCAACTTTGAAACTCCCGGTGTTTTGCACTCCATTACGTCATCTCCTAGGAGTCTAAGATGCCCCTACTGAGTTAAGGAAGAAGCAGAGATTTCTCCTGCATCCTCTCTGCTTCTATGAGGAACCAGAGGACCCAGCGTTAAAAGATCCACCTCATTGGGCCAAAGACTTTGAGGTGAAAACGCTGGTTAAGTAAATACTGTTGTTCCTAGGTCACCATCGCAGACAGAAATCGCCCCTGACAATTCAGCGGAAGCCTTCGCTAGCCGCCCTGGACAGGTAGCTCCCCATTCCTACTTCCGATCACCCATCGTACACTACTTTGCTTTACTGTTAGTACCTATTGCTATAGATAATTGGCATAAATAGTGACCCACTCGTATCTGTTTTGTGCCATGGAACTGCCCACGAGGGGGCCTCTACTACCTTGTTTACTGTTCTAACTGAGCAGGGAGTAACTGCCTGGATCATAGTAGGTGCTTAGTAAATATTTAGGGGGTGAATGAGTGAGTGGCAGTTCTTGACTTCAGCCATGGGATTTATAACCACTGGCTGCTGTGACAGAGCCACCCTGCTGCTCAGGCGCTGTACCCCTTGGGAGCCTCCCCCAGCGGGGAAACAGTGTCAAGCCCAGAGGGGGAAAGAGTTTGGTGGGAATGTTTTCTTAACAGAAATGTTCACTGCCTGTCAACCTTCCCGCTGAATCCAGCAATCTGTTTCCATCTCAATAGGGTTGTGATTTTTTTTTTTTGAGACTACATCTGTAGCGCTGAGAAGTGTTAGAGCAATTTCCATAATAGCAAGTTTCTTACCCTACTCTCGCCAGTTTACATGAAGTGACAGTGTTTATTGTGTAGGATACGTACATTATGGCTCCAACGTCATTTTCTTGGATGTCACCCACCCCGCTGTGTTTCTGCCTGTTACTCCAGCAGACCGATTCTCTCAGGAGAAAAACTAAGAATTTTTTTTTTTTAATAAAAGCACAGCACTGTAAAACAGTTTTTAAGGGAAAGTCATTTTTCATGAGCTGTGCTAACTGCCAGACTGCTGAATATATCCCATTTCTTTTTCAATACTTTGTCCCTTCCTGGGGTAACTGTCTTATGGGGCCTATGTTATATTTCCCTTGGGATCCTACAGCTTAAATGTAGTCCAGGCAGCTAAGGGATGCTTAATTCACGTTCGCAGTCGATGAGGAAATAAACACATCTGCCTACAGCACACCTGGTCAAAACGGCAACTGCCTTAGCTTAATCCCTGCAAGTTGGGCTTCAACCAATATGTCACAGGATTGATGACAGTGTCTTAAAAATGGTACTAGAGTGTGATGGAAAGAAATACCTGGTTTTGAAAAACATTTAGGAGGTAGAATCGATGGAGCTTCGAGACTGATTTGATGTGGAAGTGGGGGAAGAGGTAGTTGTCAAGAATATTTCCTGGGTTTAGTCCTGAGCAACTGAATGGGGTGCTGATCAATGAGATCGAGAACACTAGGGGGCCAGCCAGCTTGGCAGGGAAAATTAATGAGTTGCATAAGTGACCACATCTACCTTCACAGCAGCACTTCAGATGAGAAAAATGAAGCTCTGATCTTGGGGAAAATTCCAAACATATTTTTGTTTTTAAAAAGTTTCATAAGCCTATTCTTTTGACATTTATCTGGCTACACCAGATAATTTTTTATACAAGGACGCCTTATTTTATGTGTCCTTTTTATGACGTACACCTTATTTTCTGACTTGCTCATGTCTTACGCAGTTTCTCTCCCAGCTTCAGCTTACCCTCCACATTGCTGGGACAAACTTCCCAGAGCAGAAGTTGTCAAATACTTTCAACGAACCCCTGTTGCTTACAAGAATATGTCTAAACTTACTATGGGGCATGACAAGGCTCTTCATAATCTGGGCTCAAATTACTTCTATAGTGTCATTTCCTCCTATTTCTCCCCATTCAATATATACGCCAGGCCCACTAATTTACTCATCTGTCTCCAGGATCCCAGGTTTTTACACGTATCTTGGTCTTATACACACTGTTGCTAGTACCAAGAATACTCTCATTTCCATTTTTTAAAATATGATGGACTGCTGTTTATTCTTCAAGACCCATATCAAATGTCTCTTACTTTGTGAAGTCTTCCTTAGCTCTCCCAGACAAAGTCAGGCTTCCAGCTCTACATCGTTTCATGACATTTTAATTAATTAATTTATTTATTTAGGGGGTAGATAATCAAGTTTTTATTTATTTATTTATCTATTTATTTTTATGGAGGTACTGGGGATTGAACCCAGGACCCTGTGCATTCTAGGCACATGCTCTACCACGAAGCTATAACTTCCCCTCTTTTTCATGACATTTTGAACATAGTCTATAAGAGCATAAAGCAAATTCTATTAGAATTAATTATATATGTGTCATGTATTTCTTACTAAGCCATGAGCTCCCTAAAGGTAGTAACTATATCTGAATCATCTTTTTATCACTGGTAACAGACAGATCAGAAGGGATTTCTGGGTGGATGATCTCTTGGACCTTTCGTTATCCAGTGGTAATTGAAACAGCAATATCACATTTTCGACACTCAAGCTGCCACTCCCTACTTCTATACCAGTGGCAGACATCACTAGTTGATCAAGGCACTCTATCCAACTGAACCCATCCCAATCCCCCGGCAGCCACTTCTAACTGCTGAGAGTTGGCACTAAAAATGAAATATACTGACCATCTCTTTGAGACCCTAGAACTTCTTAGATGCTCTGCAAATGTTTGTTGAACAGATACTGAGTTTAGAGCCATTTACCACAAGTAGCAAACATCTTTTTAAAAATGATAGATTATCCTTTTGGTATCACTTCAACCAAAATGCTTTTAAGAATCAAGCATTTCCTAAATCACCCATTCGTTTTTCTGACTGTGTCCTTCACCGCAGCATCACTCCTGATTTATCGCCTCCCTGGACCCATTGATAGTCCAGCCACCTGCTCCCTGTTGAATTGACCTCCTGTTTCTTTTAAATGCACATCTGAAGTAACCATCTCCATGTTATAGTTTAAATATTTGCTCTTGCTTCTGCTTTACAGTCCTAGCCATTCTCTCTCTCTAGTTTATGTTCTCAGTGACTCATTTAAAAATGTTGCCTGAATGAATAAATGAACATTTATGCTTCTGAGAAAGTGGTGTAGGATGGTGAGTGCATTTGCTCATTAGAGAATTTCTATCTATACAGACCCATTTTTCTAAATCTATTGGCAATAACATCTAAAGCTGCCCCTTTTTTCAGCTGTTTACATGATTTTTTTACTTCCATCGTTTTGTGGATAAGAGGATACAAATTACCTAAAAGGATAAGGAAAAGGAATAGGATGTCTAGTTAATTTGATAGTCTAGTAATCTTGGGGAAAATTCCAAACACATTTTTGTTTTAAAACAGTTTAAACTTTTAACAAAAATTTACCTTTCTACCTTAACAATAACACATAAACTACCCCAATTGTCTTAGAAGCTCAGATGATAGAGCATTTTCCAGGACCCCAAGTCACCACTTTGAGTGTCAATGCCCTTTGCCCAATGAGGCAGCAGTTTAAGAGGTAAGTAAGCTAACTGCGCATTGGTCCTAGGACTCAGCTTGTAAACATCTTTCATCATCAGTTAGCAATGTTTCTCACTAACTCCCTGATGTCTGCCTAATTTTTTGCCACTTATCAGAGGAAAAAAAAGATCCCACAGCTTGAAATTTCTACAGTCTTCTTTTTAAATTTTCATATTCATAATTCTTTTCTTATTTTAAGGAGTTTGGTGTTGGAGTTATTAAATCTCAGTCCACGGAGTCTCACCCACTCTTGTCCTAAAAATCACAGTTGGGGTTCTCACCATCTACCTTCCTCCCAATCCAGTGATGCTGCAGCTCTGTTGTTCTTGTTACAAACAGAGACATTTATATGTGTATGCTGCCTACGAGAGTCTCCTGCTACAGAAACAGGGAAGACAACCCGGAATCATTTAATGTGAATTCTAGTGATTTCAGCACAGCTGATAGCAAAAGCACTGCTGTTCTTCAGCTCAGAGAAGGGAGCAAAAAGATCTAGACACATACAGTCAAATCCAAGCCTTACCATGAACTAGGTGTGTGACCTTGGGCAAACCACCTTGGTTCTCTTTGAGCCACTACCTGAGTCTGTAGAGTGAGGGGGTTGGCTTAGATCACTTTTAGGGCCCTTTTTTGCTAGCGGATGCTAAATCTGAACTGCCTCGGCCCTAATTTGGGGAACGATCTCTCATTGCCTCTTCCATCCCGGCACCGTATTCTAAGGCATGCTATATAAAGACTGATAGTATTTCATTGTTATTTTTCCCTTGCTTTAGTGCTGTTAAGTGGGGTGACTCACAGGGCTGAGTTCCAGCTGGGGGCCTAGAAGCTGTCCATTTCGGAGTGGGGTGGGGGAGCTCTGAGACTCAAGGAGGCAGAAAGACAAGGAGCACCGATTTGCCTCTCCCAACTGGTTGCCTCCTCGACTGGTTCCCATGAAATGCACAACCAGGCTAAAAATAAAGAAAGAAAGGGAAAAGAAAGGCTCTCTGAGCAAAGAGGACCCCACTTCCAAGGCCCAGAACTTTCTGAAAAAAAAGGGGGGGGGCTTTCATCCCTCAGGGAGTCAAGTGACACAGAGAAGAAAGGTTTGGAGAAATATCTAAATGGTATTTTCATGTTTGCCATGGAGTGCATGTTGTAAATTCCTCTCTGGCTTGTACACTGCTAATGCTTTGTGTCACTTTTACCCTGGAGAGGTCATTTTGCAATGACTGTCTCCTAATCTTTATTTGCCATAGGGTTTTTTTTCCCTGATGATAATAAAAATACACATTTGTTGTGGGAAACAGGGAAAAGTTTAAAACATTTTAGAAGATTTTCCACAGTGTCACCACCAAGCAATTCCATGTATTTCATTTCAGTTCTTTATTCAAGATTCATAATTGTAACCCAGGCATCAGCTGTCCCCTCTTCCACTTATTTCGCTTGCAACAGGGAACCCAAAATCTTCTTGTGTGTTTGCCAGAACCCTTTCAAATTACAGAAAACTCAGCTCAAACTGGTTTGGGCAGAAAAATAAATTTAATTGGCTCATAGAAAATTTCAGGACCTAAATGTCCAGCTGAAGGGAAAGGGATAAATTGTGGTGTAACAATATGGTGAAATACCTTTGCCACAGAGAAAAATGAGTGAACTAAAACTGTACCCTGGGACATAGACAATTTCCACAAATATGTTGAATGAAACAAAGCAAGTTGCAAAAGAACGCAAGTACCGTAACACCATTTGGATATATAATTATTTAAGAGTACTTATAAACATAGCTCAAGAATACCTGTATATCCAAAAAGGGAAGAAGAGCGATTGGAAGAAATCAACCCCGAGTTCTAGAGGGAGGGAGAGGGTGTGATCAAGAAGAAGCAAAAAGAATGCTTTAACCTGTTTTATATATGAGGTTGTGTGATGAGTATCCAGGTTCTTATTATACTAATTCTATACATTTTGGTAAACTTGAAATATTTCATAACATATTTTTAAGAATCACCCACACACATACATGCACACTCTGAAAACAGGTCCAGAGGTAACTCTGGCATCTGAAAGAGCTGTATCCCAGCTTCAGTCTGCCTCTCAGCTCTGTCTTCTTCTAGATTAGCTTTATTCATAGGCAGGCTCTTTCCCTGTGGTGGCAAAAAAGGCAACAAAAACTTTAGGTTGGCATCCTCACGATTCTGGTTTTAAGCTCACATTTTCCCTTCAAAACTTCTAGGGGAGAGAAAGCTTTCCACTCTCTTAATAGTCCAAAGGAGAAATCCCCAGTTCCATTCCGTAGGATCACAAGTCCATCCCTGAATCTTTCGTCCCGAGAGGAAAGGATGTGAGATGCTCTCGTTAGCCTCGTCTGGGTCATGTCCCCACCCCTGGGTCTGGGGAGTGGGTGGCTGGGTCAATACCACCCAAACCACATGGATCAGGTGGGAGGGATGGGTGGTTCCCCAGAGGAAAACCAAGGTGTTAGCAGAAGATGAAATAGATTCTGGATAGATATAAACAACAGATGTCCACTCTAATTAGTGAAAAATTGTTAATTTACTGAAGATACCTTAAGGGACAAGGAAGTGAGGCTGTACAACAAAAAGCCTGCAGCAAACAAGCTGAGGATGCCACTGACTCATCTGCCAGAGCCCCCTTCTCACTGGGCCGCCCTGCCCCCAACTAGGATGCTCTTTCTCTTTTTCTTTCCTTTCTCCTTCCTTCTTTCCCACAAAATAGCCTGACTTCCTAACTGCACTCTCTCACTTTTGCAAAACAATACTGTTACACCCAGACTTGTGTCTTTCCTTTGTCTTCCGCTCAGCAAAGCAAAATATCTACAATCAATAGGATAGTAGTGTTTTTAGAAAGCAGGAAAAGTTAAGGATTATCTTTTTTTACTTGAATATACCCTGGGGGGGGGCATGTCTTATACCCATGCAAGCAATTTATCAAAGTACAACTTCCAAATGTTTGTAAATGTTTAACCCGGAGAAATGTTCATATCAACTGCTAAGAGGACACAGTTTCTCCCTTTTACCACCTCTACGCTTGTTCACAGAATGCTTGCTTTATAGTTTTGTACTTCGCTTTTGTATTTTTCTCAAATCATTCATTATTCCTCTAAAACCTTATTTGTGTAGTGGTTATACAATATAACATTATACAAAAGTATCAGTTTCTAAAGCGATCATCTATTATCAGACTTTTAGGATATTTCCATTTGTTGCCATTTTATAAGTAATGTTGACGTTAACATATGTTCATAACCATTATGTTTTTCTCTGAGGGTTGCCTTAGGATCTGTTCCTAGAATAGGAATTTCTCAGCCAATGGGGTGTGAACATCTTTATGGCTCTTGATACAGTTTGCCAAATAGCTCTTCGGAAGTGCTAAAACCATGCACCCTCCCCTAGCATCCAATCGTAAAGCAGGATGGTGACGCGGTACTCTCCCACTGTAAGCATTAAACCCTTCCAAGAAAAAGCAAAATATAGAGATATCAATTATACCTTCTCCTGCTTTCTTTTTTACCTTTCTTTTTATACACTCAGTTTCTCAACCCGCCAAACTTGTAGATTATTCTTGACTCCTCCCTTTTCCTCCCCACTCCCCATATTTAATCTTGAATCAACTCCAGTCACTTCTGTCTCCAGCATATAACTGGAATCTCTGTGTTTCTCTTCACTTCTTTGGCTACCAGGTTGGGTTAAGCCACCATCAACTCAGGCCTGGACTATTGAAATAGTTTCCTTACTGCTTCCCAAACTGTTCTC